ATTCATACTTTGAAGGCAGGACATATATACCATTCTCATAAATTTAATACATATGTCCTCACATTTTTTTAATTATTCTTTTTTTTTTCTTTGCTAATTTTCAACTTATTTAAATTTTATTTTTTTATTCCTCATTGTAATTATAATTGTTTTTTTGTTTACTATTTTTCTCTACTAATGTCATAAATTTGTTTTTCTTTCTTATCTGAATGGAACTATTTTTCGTTTTCTTTGTTATTCCGCTTTCTCTGTTAATGGCATCCTTATAATTTTTTATTTATTTATATTTTTTGTTTTAAAAAATGCTTCATTTATTTAACCATCAATTTCATATTTAGGAGCTCTTTGTTTGAGAAAACCCTCTCAAACTTTTCATTTATAGGGAGAGGCTCAATTCATATTTTACTATTCGAGATAAACTCATATGGGTCGGTTGATGGTTGGCAACCGAATATTTGGTTTTGGAATGTGTCGGTTGCTGGGTTATACCCGTCACCTTATTCACTTAAAAAAATTCATTTTGAGTAAAAATATGCACATTATGCGTAATCCCACTGCGCAATCATTATTTGTCAGTTCAATATAATTAATAGGAGTTTAACAAAAAAATGTAATTTAGAATTTTTTTTTTAAGTAATTAAGAAAACGCATCCTTTATTTTATAATTTTGAATAAAATTTTAATAATATAGTTCGTAACGATAATTATCAGTCAACCGACTTTTAATAATATTAGAAACCACTAACCGACCGATTAGAGATAGGTTGGTTGAAATTTTCAATCCAATCCAATGGGTCGCTTAAAAATATTATCTACTCAAAAATGTCGTCGGTAATGGATCGGTTGGTTGATAAAAGTCAACCCAGTCCAAGCCATAGGTAAAACAATAAAATTTTAATGGAGAAATGCACATATGCCATGACAAGGGACTAAATGCAATATGTCCAGACAAAGAACGACTTCTTAAATAAACTCATCCACATGTCATTTGTCTAAAATACCCTCATAATATAATTTTCATCAATTATACTCTAATTTCATCAATATTGCACACTTACACCAAATTTGAACAAATATATCACATTAAACCCCCATTTTCACAATTTTTTGAAAAAATATTTCTTTTTATTTTTGGAAAATAATTTTTTTCTGAAATTTCCAGCGTTGAATTCCTTTTTTCTATTCTTTTTTGAAACTTTTCTTTTTGTAATTTTTTTCTCCCTAAATTACTGTATTAACAACAAATAATTGTCTGAGACAGTAATATTGAATGTCAAAACAGTAATATAACTAATATTACTGTCCGAAACAGTAATATTACCGTCGTAGACGATAATATTTACGTCGGAGACAACAATATTGTAGGTCAAAACGATAAAATTAATTAATACATTAATATTATGGTGTTAACAACAATATTAATGTCTAAGACAGTAATATTGCAGTTAGGACATTAATATTAATATTGACACAGTAATATTACTTTCTTTGAAAATAATATTATTCTCTTTCACTTCAAAATTATTGTCTAACACAAGGGGTGGAAATCGGAACGAAATTTTTGATTTCTGCCGATTCCATCCGAGTATTTCCGATTTTGAATGATATTTCGTAATCAGATTTCCGAATTTTCCGAAAAAAAATCGGATCAGAATTGGAACTTCATATAAAATTTTCGAAATTTTTTATTTTCGATGCAAATATAATTTCAAAAATTTTCGATTATTTTCGAAAATTTACGAATTTTTTATGTATTTAAAAATTAATTTATATATATTACGTACAATCTAAGGCGACTATAAGGAATGTGCCATAATTTTATTTCAATATATTGATATTTTGACCCATTTTATTTTGGCACATTGCTATAAGAACATCTCCGACCTGTTTCACCATCTTTTCACCAAATTCTGTTTTTTGTGGTGAAAATATAGGTTCATCTCCCACCGGTAGCACACCATTTTACCCATCGAAAAATGGTGTTTTTGGTCTCCAATGGGTTTCACCGAAATTTTGGACCAAATATTAAAATAATAATATTTCACCATTTCACCACTTACAGAAAATGGGATTTGGTTTGGTCTCCCATGACATTTCACCATATATGCTCCAAAATTATAAATCTAATGTTAATCGTCATTTTATTATATTTTGTTTCATAAATAGTAATTATAGATCCAATGTTAAGTAATAATTTTATTTTACTATTTAATTTAAAAATTATGTTTTCAATTTAAATGTATCGTCCTGTATTTTATCAATTAAAGTTTGTTTCGTTAATCATTCTATTGTTGCTTATTATATTCTTTTTAATAGCAATTAGTGTATTAGTTAAGAAAACAAATGAACTAATCAACATTGATAAAAAAAAATATAAAAATTAATTAAAGATAAGCATATTTATATTGTTAGAATTAATGTTTTTATTAATAATAACAAATGTATTTATATTTTAAAAACTAATTTAGTAATTAACGCCAATGTATTTACGATAAATACGCTAATAAGTTGGTAATCAGGTGCAATTAGTTAAAATCGTTATTTTATATGCTATTTAATAAAATGGTGTTAATTACACCAAATCCTATTTTTTACCTCTATATTTGGTAGTAAAAATAGGATTTGGTGGAAAAAAATAGGAATATGGTGGACCGGTGGGAGATGAAAATTCCTTCACCAAAAAATTTGGTGGAAAAATAGGATTTGAGTATATGGTGATATGGGGATTGACCATAGTGGGAGGCTAAAGCCAAATCTCAATAATTTTAGGTGTAATGGTGATATATGAATTTCGAGTTGGAGGCTAAAAACACCTAAATAAGATGAAAAAATGGCGATATATAGTGACCAATCGGAGATGCTCTAAGTAGCCCAAATCTTATAATCCAAACCTAATTTCTTATGTCCCCTTGTTTCATAACAGCATAGCGGTAACATTGCCTTCTCTTCTTCTTTTAGTTTCTAACCTATTTCCGTCGCTATGCTTCTCCTTGTGAAGTCGCTGCCGCTCAACAACTCAGCCTCTCCTTGTGAAGCCACCATCCGCTCTTGGTGCAAATTTTTTTCCTCAGTCGATCACTTTTTTTTCTTGAGAATCTTATAGGGCATTTTTCGTTTAATTCGACTGACCACAAGATTTCAGCAAATTTAAAGTAAAATTTTAACATATTTGAGATGTTTTCATCAGTAATCGCCAGATTAATGAAAATGTTGAGATCTATGAAAAATTCCGAAAAATAGGGTGTGTTTTTGTGTTTTTTGGGGGTTTGTCTGTGTTTTTTGTTGTATGTTCAAGAGATCTGTGAAAATTTCGAAAAAAGAACCGAAAATGAAAAATTCCAAAAAAATCCGATTTTCCGAAATTTCCAAAAAAAAAAAATCGGAATCAGATTCAGTTCTTGAATCCATAAAAAAATGGAATCGATATTACGGTTCCAAAAAAAATTGGAAATTTTCCGAAAGCCCCGTATCCAATACGATCCGTCCGATTTCCACTCATATCTCAGAGTTCACACAGTAATATTAATGAAAGCAGTTTTTCCAAAAAAAAAGTGTTTTCAAAAAAAAAAGTAAAAGAAGAAAAGGATAATGTCGGAAAACGACAATCAACGGCGGTGGTGGTCAAAATTGAAACAAGAGTCAAAATTTGTTAATTAGTGAAATTTGGCTAAATTATGATGTAAATCATGAAATTGGAGTCGAATTAGGGTTTCAAAGAACTGGTTGTAATTGTATATATAAAAAAACTTTTCCTTATTAGCAGATAAGTTTGAGTGAAGTAAATATATTTACAAGAGAAAAAAAAAATAGAATGTTTCTCTTTTAATTAACTATCTTTCGTCATTGACTTATTTACCACTGGGCCAATTTTAATATGTGCCTTCCTAAATTGTTGGTTCCCGTATATAAATATTAGGGTGGTAGCCTGAAACTTGCTTTGGTTTCTATTCTAGATTTATTTCAATTAACTATGTATCGCCCGTGCAACGGTAAATGAAAGATTCATCGAAATATTCGCCCTAAGTGATTATGTGCGTCAAAAAAATGTGCATTAGTGTGCCCGTGCAAATTTTTTAATTAAAGTGGCAAAGTGAAAAAATGGGCAAAGTCTAGGTAACGAAATCTATTAACCCTATGATATAATATGTTGGGAACCATATTCAACGTTTATATTTGTCATCTAATTCCATATATGTCTGAATATTTTATTATTATTATAAATAAAAGGGTTAAATACAAAAACACCCCTATACTATGGACTTTTACCCCCATGTACTACACATAAATACAAAAACCCCTCTGCTATTATATTTTTTTTCAAAATCTGACAAAAATACCCCTGCTAAACCTAAAAATATAAGGATTTGTTTGAGCCATTTTGCACTATATTTTTTAACATTTTCGGTCAATTTTACTTGGAAAATTTTTATTTTTTTATTTTTTCCTTCAAAACATTTAAGCACATAGATTTTTTTTTAAATTTTCTGAATAAAATCCTTTTATTTTTGTCATTTTGAATTTCTTCATTTTTTTCTTAAATGTCTTCCGGTAGTTCAAATTCTCAACAATAATAGGATTGTAAAGATGTTTGTAATCTTAGGATGTTTGAACTACCGGAAGCCATTCAACAAAAAAAATGAAGAAACTCAAAATGACAAAAATAAAATGTTTTATTTAGAAAATAAAAAAATGTAAGCAATTAGATGTTTTGGAGAAAAAAGTATAAATACCAAAATATTCAACGTAAAATTGACTGAAAATGGTAAAATATATAGTGGGAAATGGCTCAAAACACACACACACACACATATATATATATATATGCATGCTTGGGTAGGGGTATTTTTGTCATATTTTGAAAAAATGCAATTTGATGGGGGTTTTTGTATTTATGTGTAGTATAGGGGTAAATGATACAAAGTCCATAGTACATTGGTGTTTTTGTATTTAACCCTAAATAAAAAGATGTTTTAGCAGAAAAAAAAAGGTGCCAAACAAAATAATAGAACGCCAAACTAACAAACATAATAAAAATTCTTCTCTTGATTTCCCTTGGGGAAACTAAACATAAAGCTTAGCAAGTACATTTGACTTTGAGTTGGATACAACAACTCTTGTCATTAATTGAACTCAAAACAACTGAAATTTAGAATAACATTCATTCATACCAATTACTTACTATTACTTACTACTAAAGCAAAAGAGGGTGACCTTTGCCAACCACTCTCTACTTAATTCTCAACCTTTCGAAACATCTCTCAAGGATGGGCCGAAAAGTAGGCGAGGAGGCCCACTAACGGGGCATTAATATACGTCGTGGGCTCGGACTCCTGAAAGTAAGGCCTAGAGTCCGGGAAAGCATCGGAGCTATTCGGGCCGCCCACAACTGCTCCAACTAATATATTCGGGTTCGGGTTTGGACTCATATAGTAACGAGACCCCGCCTTGCATGCAATACGTGCCGGGTGGGCATCTACGGATGGTAATGAGCTGGCTCTGTGGTGGATCCTTTGTGGATAGTGTGGCCCATAGCCCACCATGTAGGAAATTCTCAATGGATTATCTCCAAGAATGTAGTCCACCTATTAATTGAAGTAGGCCCAAGAACAAAAAAGTTAGAGTATGTACTAAATATTGCATCAATTATTGCCTTAGCCTATTTATTACCCATGTGGACAACCTCGTTGATTTAGTTATAGATCCATGTTTCATTATTAAGAATTTTGAATAAAATAAAGTAATGTTGTTTATATGGGTCCACAAATATAATCTTCACACCAACAAAGGGTGCTTCATTATTCTATGACAATGATGATGTATTAATTCTCCCACAAGACTTTATGCTCAATTTCACCTACTAGAAATCATGTTTATATTTTGAGATGTGATTAAATACAATATAGCAATCAAATCATGGTTAAATGTGTTGGAAAAAAAATTATTTTAGAAGAAGAATTAAAAAAAAAAATAGAGTGATATTTGTTTATTTTTAGTGAAGATTTTTTTTTTTTACCGTAGCAATCTAATGTTTTTACAATACCAGCCAAATCATGTCTGGACGGGGATAAACTTTTAAAATTGGTAGGAGAATTTTTTTTTAAATCTTAACAAACATAGATTTATTTCCAGGAAATCATGAAAATGAGATGAAAACCCAATCAAACAATGCCCTAGACCATTTATATTTTCGTATGTAAATGAATAATGATGATGTATTCAATGCACTTCGACCGATGTGGTACATCAGAATAAACCGGCCAAGAGTGAACTTAAAAAATGGAGGCAAAATCATATTCAAGTAGTTGATTTAAATAATTAGTAGCGCAATTTATGGCCATAATTCACGTTATCTAATTTTCCCGCCAAAATTGCAACTTAATGGGGAGCAGTACTAATTCCACTAATCATAAGTGATGATAGCAAATTCATAGTACTACATTTTGTCAGTATTTTAGTCAAGTGTTAAGAGAGAATGTAAGAACTAGGTTTAATTAATTATGGTTTATTGGTATGATTAGCAGTATTAATAAATTAATTGTTAATGGTGGGGGGAGGATAATTAATTAATTAATAAATTAATTACCTGACGCCTGGCCAATCGTTTGAGGAGAGCAGGGGAGGCAGAGGTATCGCCACATGTCACGGCGTGATTGGCGTGACTTAGATAATTAGAATAAGCCAACAGCAGAAATGATAGTGATGTTACATGCTGCATGTTACTTCCTCCAGCCTTGAATATCAGTCCCCCTTTTTATTTTCCCAATATATTAGTTTCAATTTTTCCATAAATCAATAAAAATACATACTAACATATATATTTACATTAAAAAAATAATAAAAATAAAAAATTAAATAATAATAATACCTGGGGAATATTGAACCTGAGTGTGAGAAATTCCAGGCAACAATGAACAGATAAATGCATCTGCATTTATCTGGAATTGTTTCAAATCATTGGCTCTACCCATTAGAACCTCCTGCAGTCACATATTTCATTTCGATTAATTACTAATTTAAATAAATTAAATTGTATTATTAAATCAAATTAAGAGAAAACAGAGAGAAAGAAAAATAGATCCTCTGCCCTAAAATCCAATAGTCACAATCACACTTTCTTTTTGCACATGCATGTACCAGTAAAACTCACTCAATCTCTTGACCCCACACACACATATTACATATTGACATAAATACCCCTCTCCCTCTCTCTCCCTCTTCTTTCTCTCTCATCAATAATTTGGCCATTTATAACAGGGAATATATTTCTTGAGGAAACAATAAACATATTTAATAATAATAAGACAAGAAGGAATAAAGAGGTAGCAAGTGTAGACATGGATGGATTTTCCAAGTACAGAAATATTATTACAGGGGCACATGTGAAAGTTCCCTTAATTCTCCGGATTCTATTGATTAATTAATCCAATCCAATGCAATCAAATTGATGGATATATATATTATAATTAGACAAACCTTGGAAAGGAGAACATTAATCCCGGCGTGTTTGTTATCCCAACCGAACTCGTTGATACTATCACCGGCTCTTAAAACGACCTCGTTTCTCACTATGTACTCTCTATATTCCCTCCTCCGAGTTGCCTTGTGCAACCACGCCGCGCCCCACAACAATTCATCCTATTCAATTAAATAAAATTTACATAACTATTTTGCTAGCTATGTAACAATCAAGAATAGTAATGTGTAGAATGAAGAAAAAACAATGCACCAAAGAGTTTTATTACATGAGTAATTAATAATTAATTACCTGGTAACCATTGACATCACAGTAAAAAGGGCAAACGGCGTAGTTTAGGCTCGAACTGTAGGCGCCTCGGTGCCTGTCGGCGAACTCGAACACCTATTACACAATAGTCAGAGGACCATTTCGCAAAATAATAAGAAGCAAAATAGTTTTATGTTTTTTCTTGTGCTAATAATATATGAGATAAATTTGTATTGAATTGTGAAAGACATTCAATTTTTTTAGTTTTTGCCTAATTTAATTCATAATATAATTTAGGTTAAATTACAACCGCCCCCTAAGTTTAGAACTATTTACAAAAAAACCCCTCGTTTTTCTATTATTACATCCACCCTGCAATTTATAGATTTCTTACATTAACACCCTTTTGAAGGGTAAGGGTATGGATGTAAGAAATTTACAAACTGCAGGAGGCTGGATGTAATTTCTCAAATATAAGGATCTTTTTGTAATTACATTTTACCCCAGTGGTGGTTGAAATTTACTACTATGTGTTATGAATGCTACACTATTGCATCATAGTTTTCGTTTTCACATTATGATTCCTTTTTTTAGCATGTTTTGGAACTAAGTCTTACAATTCACATGCATAGGTAGGAGTGAAATAAATTCTTTTCCTTTTTACTACCAAACCAGAGAGCTACAATTAATTCAAAATAAGGTTTTTTTTTTCCTTTTTTTTAATAATTATAAATATAAAAGATATAGGTCAGCAATTCCAGTTTCTGCTTAGCCCAATCAAAACTTCTTTCTACATTGTCAGAAATTGAAATTTATACTATTTTACAACAGTTTTAATAAACATTAATTAATGTCACGTCACACGTTGTTTCTGCATAATGCACTACAACCAACTTAATATCAGTTAATGTAACGCAGCCTGATTTTTTTTAATTTCTTTTCATCGAAATGAAAAAAATACTTATTGAAATACTAAATCAATTATCAACAATAAAAAATAAATAAATAAAAAAAGAAATAATGATAATCGTGCAATATTCTGTATTGTTCTTTCTTGCTCAGTCACGTGAACCTAATAATTAAAAAGCCTATCTATAATTTGTGCAATTAAAGATTTTTTTTTTTTTAATTTTTTATCATGCATTGATTTTGTGTACATATAAAAATACCTTGATTGCACGGTCGAGAAGCAGCCTAGAGTAGGCCGGGTTGCGTGACCGGAAAACAATGGAGGCGGCGGCGAGAGCGGCGGCGGTTTCTCCGGCGACGTCGGAGCCAGGGTGGTTGGCGTCGATTCTGTATGCCGTTCTCAGAGTGTCCATATCTTCGGGTCTTTCCCAGCAGTTGTGGTCGGACAATGGATCGCCGACCTGCACGTATACTACGCCGTCGTGCGCGGTGGCTTTGAGCAGGTAGTCGGTCCCCCATTTCACCGCCCTTACGGCATTTCCCAGCTCGCCGCCGCCCATGTTCCTGCCGAAGTCGATCACGCTCCACGACAGCAAGGTGGTGGTGAACGCCATCGGGAAACCGAACTTGATGTTGTCGCCGGCGTCGTAGTATCCTCCCGTCAGGTCAACCCCGGCGGAGGCGCCGTCGTGCAGGGCGGAGTTTTTGCGCCACCGCACGCGCTGGTCGGTCGGGAGTCTGCCGGAGCGCTGGCCTTCGAAGAATAGGATGCTCTTGCGGAGGGCGTCGTGGTAGTCGTGGCCGGCGGCGGAGAGGCGGAGGTGGTCTCCGGCGAGGAGGAGGAGGAGGAGGAAAAGGGCGGCGGCGGGGAAACATGCCGGGAGGTGGCAAGAATTTCGCGCCATTTTTTTGGGTTTCAGTTTCTCGAGGCTGAAGCAAAGAATATATAAAGTGGTGGGGATTTTAATTAGGCGGGGGGCTTTATTATATAGTGGAGATCTGTCATTGGATTCCAGAGGGAGGGCGAATAGGGATTGGACACGTGGATAAAATCGATTGAGTGGGATTTGCGTTACCAATGAGAGGAGGGTGTTGACCGGGTTAAGAAGAATTTGACCGGGTCGGGTAAATGGACCGGGTTTTTTTATTTTCTTCTTCGGGGAGTGTGTAAAAAACTGTGAAGTATGTGTGTGTGTGTTTTGGTGACAGAAGGAAGAGGTGTGGGCACTGGGGCAGTGCTGCATATGCGTAGTGAGAAAAAAGTGGTGGTTTTTGAATTTTGATCACGGCCGTCACCGCCAATTGATGGGGGACACGTGGAGCTCCTGAAATAAAGAAAATGGTGGGGCCCACGGAGATGGATAAGCCAATGGGATTCAGCTGAATTTTGAGAAGTAAGGAAGAATGTGTGATTTCAGTTGAGAGGTGGTACGGTGGGCATGGATGCTCCATGTTTTTCGAACTTTGCAACTGAAACATTTCATTTAATGTGTATGATGATGAATTGATGATGATGGTATCAAACTTCCAATATTTAACATATTTTTAGTGTCGAGAGTCCAAGAGTATTAATTACATTTTAGTAGGGTTCGGCATGGATCGGATGAGACAATTATCCGTCAATTACTTTATTTTGCTGAAAATTGAAAAATCATTACCGACCCGACCATTATAGATTGGATAACGGTTGACAACCGACTTTGTCAACTAAACCATAGATCGATTGGTTGTTATTACTAGCCATATATTTATTATTATTATTATTTACAATAATAAAACATTTTTAAAAGTTTTTTTCAAATGATATTCGGAATTTTGTGAAAACTTGTCTTGCAAAAATTTTAACTTTAAAATTAATGGTCTTGTTTACTAAATTTCTACGATAAGTAAATATATAATGAAAAATATGAAGTATGTTGTAACTCGCCCTAATAGTATTGCTCTTCGGTTTGATGATTGTGGAAATAAATTATGACAAGAATAACAAAGAAATAGAGAGAGAATGCAAAAACAAAATTCGTAGAAAGACTATTAAGGTGTATTATTGGGGAAGGGAGAGTTCCATTATATATGTGTAAAAACCACCGGGGTTACAGAGAAGTTAATGATTTAAGGGTCTATTAGATATAATCCCCTTAAACATTCAAAAAATAGGGGGTAGACCCAAAATTAAATTTGCCATTTTGATAAAAGCCCAAACTTTTCTTAATTACATAATTACCCTCAATCAAATCCCACAAATCCCGTTTACCTTTTGAAATAATATCAAATCTCTTCATATTTTCCCGTTAAAACACTATCACCCCAAACCCACTATCAAATAAACTGCAAAACCTCCCACAACCACTCCCCGGAACGGCCGATTGAACGCGGAAAATTTCTCCACTGCCGTGAAACGACGACTACGTGCACTCCGAGCAAGCCGCCATAGGTACGTCTTCGCCGCTCGTTGCATCGCTATCGTCGATCGATTTGTTGATATGTTTTGGCTAAATCAACTATCACGTTTGCATAATTGCAGATCTGTTATAATCGTATACCAAATTCGAGCAATCAATCGTTGATATTTCAACAATTGATGGGCAGGACAACCACCAAAAAAGGTAACCCATTACTATGTTTATGTTTAACTGCGAAGTGATAGTCTATTTGAGATTTTTTTGTGGATAATCTGTATATATTTGCTTATCTGACACACTCAGTAAAATGTTGCAGTCATCGAAGCATCGAAAATGGCAGACGACATTATGCTGCTAAACGCGGGTGAGCAATTGATATCCCGTATTGATAAATATCAGAAAATTGTATAATCGAGTAAAACGTCAATAATCGGATATGTGTTTTAGATAGCGTGTTGTTTGTCCGTAGTGTAATTAATCTCATGGGTTTATTCATGTTATAGATTGTAGTTAAATCGATGAATGTGATAGTTGGTTAATGAAGTTCCATAGTACATTAAGGTATTAGCAGTCGGATCTGTGTTTTAGATAGCGTGCTGTTTCCGGTAGTGTAATTACTCTCATGGGTTTATTCATATTATACATTGTGATTAAATCCAATATATGTGATAGTTGGTTAATGAAGACCGGTAGTATATTAGGATATTAATAGTCGGTTCTGTGTCTTAGATATCGTGGTGTTTGTCCGTAGTATAATTAATCTCATGGATATTTTGATGTTTTACATTTTGTCAAGATACTATTGTGTATGTGATGTTTGGTTGATAAATCTGATAGTATATTATAATAGTCTGACAGCATGCTGTGTTAATTCGTTGTTACAATGAGATGTTATTTAGAAGAAATTCAGAACAAGTTGTTATGAATTGAGATAGTATGCTAATATAACGGTGTGTTCTTCTGAATCTATATATTAATTGTAGAACCAGTATTAATATACCATTACTTTAAAATGAATTGTTGGTCGCTTAACTACACTGCATTTTTAGTTATGCATGCTTGTGTAGTTATGTGTATGCCGTGAAAATGTATGCCTATGATATGTTTCATATTTGTTGCGTATTTTATGTTTCTCATAATTACACAATTTTATGTGCTTTACAGCCGAATCAAACCTAATGGCTCAGAAAGAACTAGACCAAGGCAGCTGGACCCGACAATTCCGATCCAGCCTACACTCAACAGTAGACTTCTTCGCAAATGTCAGTCTGCGAAAAGCGCACTACAAATGCCTCAAAAGAACGCCATTCTACCGGCTAATCTTACCGTTTGCCAAGCATGAAATATCCATCTCGCAAGTCACATGGACACAAATAGGCACAGTCCTCATATTGAAAACATACAACAAAGAAGACAGAGTGTTCAAGATTGGAGGAAGAGAATTGCATGTCACAGATGAGGATTGCAATCTGATATTCAGCATCAAATCAGGTGAACAAAGCATAAGTATTCGCAGAACCACCAAACCAGAATTTGGTCTAACCAATCGTAAATTTAGAGACGTATAAAAAATACGATTGGGGATGTTGAAGCCTAAGATGATGGAATACATTGACAGTAGGGATGACGAGGATGTCGAAGATGTGGTTCGTATAATCATACTCCATGTACTTACATCCTGTTTTTTTGTAACTTCCGGAGACCAAGTCAGCTGGTGGATGGTACAGCTGTGTGATGAACTGTACAAACTCAGTGATTACAATTGGGCAGGTTACATCGTCGAATTCCTGATGAAATATGTGCAGGAAACAGAACCATCATTAGTCCGTGGATGCACAACACTATTGTTGGTATGTTTGCATAGTTATATATACCTTAACTCGTGATCAACTTTGCATAATAGTATTTTTGTTAGTGCACACAGTTAACATGCATTTGTAATATGCAAGCTCGTATATTGATTTGAGACATAGTGTACATTATATCCATATAGTATAGTACTGTAACCTAATAGTATATTTAGTTTGTTTAGATAGTATATTTATATTGTCTTCATATGATATTTATAATATTTTAATAGTATATTAATATCTAACATGCAGTCCATTTATAACACTAGATTGTTTCTGCAGTTCTGGATGTGTGAGAGGATAAATATCATTGAACCAATCATCGCTGATGCTTTCCCAAGGTTCCAGAAGTGGAATTTGAAAACACTGGGGACAGCGCTGGAGTATAAAGCCATCAGAGACATCCACAACGATGAAGTGAACGAGTCAGCACTCACTCAGACAGAAGAAGAAACTGCGTTCTTCAGCAAGGACACATCTGCTGCAGAAAGAGGCAGTAAAAGGAAAAGAACAATTAAAAATAAGGAGCACAAGAAAGGCAAAACAGATGACACATGCACCAGTTCTGAAACAGGAGACACTGATCAGAATATCAATGTCCCAGAAAAATTCATGACTAAATTACGTGAGAAGTCGTCAGAAAATCGCCGTCTTTCCAAGCTAGCACTTCAGTACGAGACTAAATCCCATATACTGAGAGAGAAGAACGAACATCTGGAATACCTCTTGGCCAAATACGCACCAGCTGCAGAATCGAGTCGTGGGGGATCGGCCCAACCCATAGACCATACAACAGAAGCAAAGTTAGCTGCCGAAACATTACGTTGCGCCGCACTCGAAGAACAGCTGCTACTTATGAAACAGTCATACGATGACTTGGAAGCAACAACAGCACTGTTGAAGCTACATGTAGAGGCCCTGACCGCTGACAACAACAGCCGCAAGAAGTCCAAAACATGAATTCAGAACTCCGGTGACGAACCTGATACCAAATTGCACGAATCAGCTGGCAAGGCAACCACTTCCATGGTGACAGGCTCAACTCCAAAAACTCCCACGGAAGACAGTATGCCATCTTTCCGATTGTTTTCACAAACGCAGCCTGACCCTAATGAAACAGATGCAGAGCGCGATGATCTTTTACCTCTGACGTACGTTGATGAGACCGAGATACAACTCGTTGATCTCATTACTGATGTAACGTTGCTGAAAGACATCAATAAGGAGAAGAGTCAGACGATACTCCACCAAAACGAATTAATGAAACAGCTGAAGCACACAATATCTAGTACCAAAAAGACTAGCAATTGTCCTCAAATTTCAGTTGAACAAATGAATGTATCCTTCGAGATTGATGGGGGGATCATGGACACCAACAGCGAAGGTCATGAGGGCTCAGTGAACATATCTGCTGACACATTGATCTTACCGCATGCCAACACGGAACATGCCGAAAGCATCGAAAAAATACTACCCATATCTGATAGAACACGGTCCAAGCGTCCTGCGGTAACACCAAGGTTGTAAGGAAGTACAGGAAATTCAAAAACTATCGCAACATGTCGGAGAGTAACAGGTCTCTACTGGACATCACAGTGGAGGCTGTTGCAAACAAAGAATAGTAAGTTTCAACAAAAATCCTTTCGCCATATTTTGTTTAATACTAATAAAATTAATTTGCCCCCAACCAAACATTTTATTTACCCTAATTTGCCCGCAGCACCAAAGTTTGGACAAGCCCAGATGGCAGAAAATTTGTGTGTGTCAAGGATTTGGTGTAGAGCATTACGCACAGAGAATTATCCTCGCTTGTAAGTCTACATATACTCATTGCTCCTTTTTTTTCTGATATTGCACTCATGCAAAACATAGATATACATTAATGGCAATACTTCTACAGACAATTGACGCATATTGTGAGATCTTAATGATAAGACAGTCCATGAAAGAATTCAACAAGACGTAGTACTCTGAGTTGGAGGGAACGAGCTATGTTTTTCCATGCATGCTGCTGGTAAGTGAATAATAGTAGGTATTACATTCTCGCACTGATGACCTCCTGAAACTAATGTAATCACATTGATTCTGAGCAGAGTGCAACAATGAACCCAAAAAGCACCGACAGGTCCTTCCATCCTCCTGCAAACATAACTGCATATCGCTATCTATTGTTCCCGCTCCATTCTGATAGAAATCCCAACAAAGTGGCAGACCACTTCACCCTCGTTGTTTTCGATCGGTTAGAGGAGAGCTGGAAGTTCTACAACTCGTTGTTGCCAAGGGAGAATATAACAGACAAGTACTTGGTCGATGCACATGATATGGTAAGACTCTTGACCAACACAACAGCTTCAAATAAAAATCATACATATCTAATAACATTTGCCTTGCTACCATGACAACAGAAAACAACAATGCAAGCTACTGCAAGTAAATACAACATCGACATCAATTTCGATTTTGACATTGAAGTCGTCAAGGATTGCCCATAACAAACCAATGGCCGCGACAAGCAGCATGTGCGCATGGAAACCCATTAATTTGCCACAGCCTACAAGAGCATGTCCTTTCTCGAAGATCAACAACAGCGTTTGGCGACGAAAAAACTTCGAACACGTGCATAGACGATCTTTTTGTTAGAGTAGGTGACCGGCAAGCCAACTTGTGGCTGTGGTCTTTCTCTTTTCTTTGTAATAAAACAATCGTTTTTCGTTCGTAATAATAAAATATCTTATTTGGCATTCTATATCTGTTATCCCATGCAAGCAGCATAGATATAGTCCTAACGAGTTACTCTATTACTGTGAGTTGATCTAGTAGAATCGTGAGATAACTCAGCAATGTAATGTAACTGTTAAACCTTGTTCCTAGTCGATGGGTTACGCCAATAATGAGGATACCGGCCTTTCCCTTTTGAGACTAGCACTTAGAGTATGTGTACTGCGTCTCATCAGTCCTCGGTGTTGTGACATCGGCATACTTGAGTGGGTGCTCATACTGGATGAGTTCACTGAACTCCCTCGCCCTAGAAATCTATAAGTGGTTCTCATTCATCGAGTAATAGGTTTCTAAGATATAGTTGTACACCATTAGTCCTTAAGACCCAGACATCACCGTGACTTCACTAGAGGACCGATTGTATCGTGACCTGTCCCTGAGTCCCACCGCGGACCGCTCCAAGGGCCAACGTTCGTGCAATCCGAAATCTAGTGTGAAGTCTGTGTATTGTAGTAGGGGATTCGAGCGCTTGAGTAGTCATGGATGTCCTGTGTGTTCTGACAGGTTTATAATCACATGGAATCTCTGGCCAGAGTTGATAGTGGAGTGATAGGGAAATGTGTTCCCTAAGTCGCACACGAACGGATTATAATACCTAGAACGTTCGCACGGTTATTGAACTTTATAAGAGGTCTCGGTGAACCAATGCCTCTAGTTCAATCGGGACATGTGCTACGAAGGGATCGTACTGTACGCTAACTATATCATAAGGTTCTTGCAGGCACTTCATTTGTATCTAGGGAATCATGATGCGTAGTTGCTAGACGCCAATCTTGATTCGATGGGCACCGATTTGATCGGGATTAGGTAAAATGAGTTTTACTCTAATCGGGACTCTTGGGAGGAGTTCGTATAAGAACAATGTGTTGTTCGAATCACAAAGAGTTGTGAGCCCACGGCTAGCATACACCTGAACCATTGAGGGTCACACTTCTCGTGTAACATGGATCCTTGATAACAATGAGCATAGATTAATATGTTAATCTTTGCAAAGTTGGAAGTCAATATGATTGAGTCCAAGATTCGTGATTGTGGATTACGAGTCGGAATAAACGTAGAGAAAGAGAAATGCGGAATTTAGTGAACTTTCTAAATTGGGAAGTTTCCCGATTTAGCAAGTCCACTGAATTGGAAGTTTCCAATTTTGGAAATTGGAAATTTCGAAGAGGCACTCGTATCGACGAGGACTTTGAGCTCGTCACAAATATAATTTTGTTATAATTTTGTGGACGATCGTTTATTAGAAACGAGGCCGTAAAGGGAATGGACTTAATGCATCAGTGGGTCAAGCCCAATGACTTAAGCCCGCTAGGGTTGAAAACCCTAGATATAAATAGACCTCAAAAGGAGTTTTGAGATCAGATTTTTCAGCACAAAACCCTAGCCGCTCAGCCCCCCCTCTCGGCCGCTGCATCTCCGCCGCGCCACCGCCGTCCGTCGCCGGAATCCGCCGGTTTTTCCCTCTCCTTTCTCTATCGTATTCCCTTGTTATCTAACCCCTTTGTATCTAGTGCTACAGTAGGGGGAGATCCGTTTATTCGAGGTGAGACCTAATTGGAGAGGAGCTGCTGCCCCGACGGAATCGCCGCATCGCCGCTGCACCGCCGCACGCGCCGCTGCACCGCCCACGCGCCGCCGCCGTCGTCACGCACGCGCCGCCGTCGCTCCACCTTCGGTCCAGCTGCCGTTTGGTGGTGTTCCTGCAGCCCCTAGGAGTGGTATATAGCAGCTTGTACGTGACTCGTTCTGAGATTTCGATTCGTCGAAATCGCACGCTACAAGAGGTAAATGAATCGAAACTTTCGTAAACTTATTCGAGCATGTTTGTATGAATTATGATTTACGATTATGAGTAATATGTGATTACATGTTTCGATTTCATTAAATGATGAATAAGCATGTTTCGTGATTTTCGGTTTTATGTATTTTTCAATTAAATCGAAAATTACCATATGTATGGCGGAAGCGTTAAGGTACGTTGACTATATGATTAGTTTTGCATGTAATCGAAACTAGTTCGATATAAAAATTTTAAATTCCGCTGCGTATACATGCACGATCCCCAACAGTGGTATCAGAGCCACGGGTTAATCGTTTATTTGTCAACGTGTTTATCGTTTTCGAAAGCATGCTTCGATTTGTTGAATTGTTGAATTTTTGGTGTTATCAAATTGGGTGTTTAATATTAATTAAATATTTTGAATATTTCAGAAAATATAAAATTTTTAAAAACTCGTTTTTCTGCTGTTTTTCCCCAGCTGACCGGACCGGTCCGGTCAGCACAAACAAAAAAAAAAAAAAAGAACAAAAAAAAATTATTTGATTTTCTGAGAATTAATATTAAAATTAATTGATTCTTAATTTTTGAAATTATTTATCAATTAAACCCAATTAGATAATTGATCCATTAATTTAATTTGAATTCAAAGAATAGTGTTGGATTAATTATTTAATTTAATCGTTAAATTAGTTTAATTAATGGAACACAAATTGGATGGCAAATAATTAATGGGCTTCATTCTTATTTGAATGATTTATGAATGAAGGAGGTCCGTTAATTATACTTGCAATTTATCGTATTAATTAATTAATTCATGAGATGAATAATTGTGATTAAGTACGATGATGATCGTATGTTTCTCTTAGGATCAATATGCGTTTCCACATACCTAGAGAACATAGTTGTAGGAATCACAAACGATCATAACCTAAAACTTCCGATGAGCTAATAAGATTTAAAAACAAAATCCCTCATTCTTAATCAAGAATAATTATCAAGCTATAAAGAAAAACCAAATTGTTGAATTTTTCTTTCCTTCTACCAACAATTAAATTATGTGTAGCCTCTTATAATAGTGCAGTAAGCCGCGTTAGCGGGGAGTGCTATTGTGGGATAAGCTGTAATTTAATTGACATTAGATGGAGATACGGTCATAGATAAAATTATATTGGATTAATGTGGTCGGCTAGATTAACTAGGGATTGCATTAGTTTGATATAGTTGGATCTATGACATCTCATATTGGTAGGCTAGACTTGACACACGAAGATTTTGATATTCGCTAGATTAACTTAGGTCATTATCAAGTGTGAGGTAAATCGATCTTTAGGGTCACATAGTGATGTGATTGATAGTACTCTACCTTTAGGCTTATGTAATCGGGATAGATTAACTACGGGTTACATTAGCGCTATTGGACCTAAAGCCCATTAAAGAAAAATAAGTTTTCTCGATTGTCTGCTAGAGGGTGGTGGAATTCGATAAAATTAGTGGGAGAACAATTAAAACATAAAAGTCCAAAATTTTAATTGTAACGATTATTACGAACAAAACTCTAATCATTGTCTTCTTAAAATTTTCTCAGCAACAATGTCCAAACATCCCCTTTCCTCAATCCTCGACCAAAACAAACTCACCGGTCCAAACTATTTGGATTGGCTTCGCAATCTGAAACTTGTGCTCCAAGTCGAGGAGCGTCTCTATGTGCTCAATGAACGTCCCCCCGCTGCTCTTCCTGCGACTGCTACTGCTGACGAGACTGCCACTTTCGAGGCATGGAAGAAGGATGACCTCCATGCGAGGTGCTACATGCTAGCATCCATGGTGCCAGAGCTCGCGAGGAAGTATGAGTCTCACGTGCATGCTTATGATATCAAGCACCATCTTGAAAGCATGTACAGTGAGAATACTAGGGCATCGAGGTACTCAGCTACCAAGGAGTTGATCACCATGAG